TGTGTGTGACATCTTTTCTTTTTCTAGCTTGAACGGAAATAATGTCCCGTGCTCTTGAGTGCACAGGATGGAGAGCCACCGCGACAAATTCAAGTTTGTAACTAATGCTAAATGTGGCTGCTTGTTTTCATGCTGGGTTGACACTGTTTGTTTAAAAAAAAAAAACGTATTTTTTGGGGTCTAAAAAACAGAAGTGGCGCGTTTGCTGACAGCACCTCGGCTAACGTAAAGTAAATTATCTGGTTGGAAAATAAAGCGGGCAGCGTTATAAATTGGGGAGGTCACGTTATTTACACTTCAAAAAAAGGGGTGAAACTGTGCGCAATGTGCCCGCGCAGTATCCCCGTGTCAAACTAAACATCAAAAGAGTCTAAAACTTAAAAAAAAAGGCGAATTATATTATGTTTTTATCTTTATTTAAGGGGGCAAGTTCACTGCTTGGCGATGCTAACTGTTGTTGACCGACGTTAGGCTTTTGGGACAGGCGTTAATCTTCATTGCAGCGTTTTAGTCTCACGTTTAAAGTGTATATTTTATTAACTAGCTAATACATATATCGATCACCAAGACCTGTACGTGATATTTACCCGATAAAGCTGTGTGTGTGTGTGTGTGTCGTCTCGTTTACTGCCACACGATCAAGTCGCTCTGAGTCGAGCTAATTTGGAGCTAGTAGCATGCGCTAGCTGGCAAGTAGTCTCTCGGCGTTACGCTTGGCGACTTGACACTTTAAAATAAACATAAACGTACACATAAAGGAGGAAAAATGTACAAATAAAAGGTGGTTTAACACCCCACAGAGCTCTGGACTACCTAGATGCTGTAGCTACCAGGCTAACCTCAGCTGATACTACGTTAGCCAGCATCAGCATGATGTGCCTGGCCAGCTAACTAAAAGCCAACAATAGGTCGGATTTTAACTCACCCTACAAACTACCACTTAAATGCAGTTTCGCTTACCGTTTTATGTCCACTCTGGAGGATCTGAATAGCGGGTGAGGGGACCTGGGTGAGACCCCCGTCGCTTTCCACACAGCTTCCACAACCAAAACAATACTTCTGTCCACACACTGCGGATCCCTCGCAAAGCTTTAAAACGTCCGTGTATGAACGCGTCCTCCAGACAGTCCCTCCCCGCGGAGAATCCTCTACTCCTTCTTGTACGCGGGGGCACAAAATTTGCCTGGGAATTAACTTCGTAACCGTTAAAAGTGTGCCTGAGTCAACGGCGACTTTTTTAGAAATTAGATCCCCTCAAACCTCTTTTCCCTTTGCAAAAATGGCGGCCCTGCCAGGACTGCCGAGACCCCGCCTCCTCCTCTCTCCTCCCTCCCCTCCACCGGACCCGGGCCCCGCCTCCACCTGCTGCGGGGCTGCCCTCCCGGTTTCGCAGGGGCAGCGTGACCGCGCTCCCGTGCGCGTCCACGACTGTGATTCCTCAAGTCTGTGTCTGCTATTTCTGTCGGCGACGGGCTGGATTTAACTTGTGTGCTGCACTTTATTTATTTTATTTTATTTTTTAATATATATGTATATCAGATAGACATTTAGTAAAGAAAGAGAATGCGTGATAATTAGATTTGAAGTCATGATGCAGGTGGCTTTGTTTTCTTTTTTTAAGGATTTAAAAACAAAACAAAAAGCCCATCAAGCCA